TAAGGACATACACTGCCTTATAAGCAAATAGCTCAAAAATTGTGTAATTTTTTCAGGATAATGCTCTTCACGCTTTCCCGTGAATTTTCAACACAATCTTTTATGTTCTATTTACTCTTTCAGAAAATGGAGGGCAACGAGCCTGGACAGGTGATTGGTCAAGTGTTTGCCAGCGATGCGGATGAGGGAATCAACGCTGAACTTGACTATTCAATCATATGGCCCCCCGAGAAGGGCTCAAACCCATTTCAGATGGGCCCTAAAGGCGAAATCATCGCAAAGCGTTCACTCGATAGAGAGAAAAATCCGGAAGGATATCACTTTATGGTTAGTTTGTGAAGTGAATCTCTTATAAATTATAAGTAGTCCTTAGTTCGTAGAAACCTATATTTTGTCTCCGAAAGTTTCGGGGCCTTTTGATCAGATTAGCACAGGGAGCCGGAAAAAGACGTTTCGTCTAAGGAGCTAGATAAAATTGCCTGATGCTGGAAGCTATCATTTGATATGGCGAATTCTTGTATTTGACTAGCTCTGTATTTAACATTATCACATCACTTGATTCCCATGATAGCCTTCGTGAATAGTTTAAGCAATTTATTCGTCTTGGAAATTTAGCATTAGATTTTAGTGTATTGTTACTTTAACTTTCATGATAATAACATGCAAATCTCAAGGTTTTACAGCAGGAATTTTATATATGAATTGATAGAAGTTTGTAAAGAAGTTACTAATATTCTTAAGTGTAGCTTATAGGACCTGACACAATCATCCCATAATACTCGTTTTTACATCTTGGACATGAAGATTAATATTATATGGTCTATTTTGGAATAAAATTCTACTTGCTTGAAGTCATCACACCTTGGAAAATTTGAATTAGGCCTTCAAGAAACGTATTTTGAAACTCACAAGTACGTCAAATGACTATGACTAAGAATGATCCCACAAGGTTGTGCTGTAATTTAATATTCTTGCTCTGAATATGTAGTTTTATCGATGCAAGTCTAGCAAGGATCAACGAAAACCTTAACAAGGTCCGCAGAGCTTTGATAGTCTCAAAGAAAAGCTACTTAAGCAAGCTTCTAGCAGGCCAATGATCAACTTTCCCTCATTTATTTGGAAAAACTTTTCATATGACTTTTCAAACCTTTAAAAATTCACATTCTACACGAAGAGCTCATTTGACCTCGACATTCGAAAGAGACTAAATTAATTTTTTTACAGTACTCTGGCAAAAAATAAGATAAAGGTTTACTTCT